AAATATATGTTTATTAAATAAAGTCTAATGTTACAACTAATCATGGATCCATTTAACATTGCATATAGTGAAAAACAACAGAGTCCAGTGTGCGTTGTATTAATTAGGCCGTTTTGCACTGCAAGGCCCGGGCTAGCCAGACTTCAAACATGAAGTCTTCAGCATGTTTGCATTAGCCCTTATGACCAGTTCTGAGCCCTGTGGTTGTATCCGGGCCTGGCTGCTTGGCGCAATTTGACATCAGCTTTTGTTGCTCATTTAACTTGTTTACTAACCAGGGTGGGTTATGTCGCACAGATCAGAATAAATTTTTGTGAATTTATTTTTACAATAACTTTCACTACACAAAAGCATGCTACCAAACAACAACAAGCCAACATTAGCTTCAGTTAGCTTACCATTTTCTGTTGTCCTGCCATCTCATCTTTAACCTCTGAGGGCTGGGACTGGACAGTTGCTGCTGTTCCAATACCTGCAGACCCTGGAGACAGAATGGTCAAAAATACAGATAGCCATGCTCAATACAAATACAAGCAGGGTCAGGGTAGAAAAAGGCCCACGCTTACTGGAGCTGGGGTGGGCCGAGGCGAACCTTACAATGTTAACGCCTTTAAATGGACATGATTTGAAAGCAGATTTGAAGAAAAAAAGTCTTCTCTTTTTGATTTGTTTTAGTTCTTGTCTTAGTTTTCTTAGTGACTAAAATTATGGCATTAATGTATTAACACTGTTTATGTTTTTTGCACTAAGTCATTTAACAAGCCTTGCTTTTATTCATAGCATTAACTTCATTTTTTTTCTTTCTGTTTTACTTACTTTGCAGGGGCCTACAACTCTTTCTTGCCTTTCTACATGGAAACGCTTGAACCACATGTAGAGGAAGATCTATGCAAGGTAAAGGTGAATATACAGTATATTTACCTTTGAGACTTGCTCTGGTAATATTGTGAAGTACAGTATTTTACAAAAACGCTAAGCAACAAATCTTGTTTTATTAATAGCAGATAAATACAGGTTTTGAGTTCTCAACGATTTAATATTTGTTTTTCTTCTATTACAGTTAGAATATGAAGGCCCAGATGAACTTRTTGAAAAGATGAAATCACTATCAATGACCCATGAATGTAGTTTGACAAGTGAACATGGTAAGTCATCTCAATACAGCATATAGACCCTCTGATGTTCACTTTAATGTGCGGTTTAGTGTTTGAATTAGGGATGTCCCGATACCACTTTTTCACTTCCGATACGATACAGATATTACAACTTTGAGAAATGTCCGATACCGATATTGACCCGTYACCATAACAGTACAAGTCACACACTTTTACCTATTTTGTAATGTAAAATCTTAGAAAAGTCTTGATCAAGTCAAACAGTGAAAAAGAGTAGATATGAGAAAAACTGACCCATTTTTTTTAACCAATGGATCACATACATTTTAAAATGAAGAATATTCTACAATTTAATAAATAAAATAAATTATAAAACCCTGAAAAAAATAACATAATAAAAACAAAATGTTCTTTTAAAGTGTAAAATAATTCAAAATCACTCCAGTTATTTTTTTACCATCTGTTAGCCTTGTGCTGCTTTATGGTGGAAAAAACTGAAGGTGGGGACAAAACAAAACCCCACATTATTGTCTGTTCAAAGTTAAGAGTCCACAGCTCCAATTTTACTGACTGTAACCAAAACAACGTGATCATTGCACTTAATCTTCACTAAAACAAGTGTGTAAACAAATTAAACATCACTCTAACAACAAGAGCATAAAAT